GCCCCCCCGCGGGCCCCGCCCCGGGGCGGGCTGCGCCCCCCATAGCTTCGCGGGGGGGGCGCCCCTGGGAGCCCAGAAGTGTGGGCAGCTGCCGACGGGAGTACCCGCTGTCCTTGCCCTGCCTCTGCCTGGCTTCAGCCTTTTCTGAGCTGCTCCCTCCCAGGCACTCAGCAGCCTCCCTCCTTTGAGCATCCCCTTGCACCCGTCTGACGTGTCCAAGGCAAGGAGGCCCCCAGCCAAACCCTGCCGTGTGCGGAGACTGGCGTTTGGGCTGACCCTCTCACCTCTCCTCCCTTTTAATAGCCACGGTTCCTGCCCATCTCCTGTGGTAACATCTCTGGCTGGGGGGAGTGCGCCCAGTCTGCCAGCCCCCCACGCTGCAGACCCACAGCTGAGTCCCGGGAGCAAGCTGTGGCTTCACCCACTGCCCTGCGCCTCGGGTGCCAGGGGTCAACCCACGGGTGGGCATCACTGTGGGTGTGAGCCTCTGGGCTGCCCTGCCGCTGTGGTCCTGCTGCGAGCTCTGGCTCCTGAGCTCTCCGGCTGCCCTGGAGAGCATCCCAGCCCCAGAGTGCCTGGGCACCCTGCCTGCTGCCCCACGGAGCCGTGCTCCCCACCCTTCCTGAGCCAGACCTTGCCACGAAGAAGGCAGAGTCTGCTGGCTGGTGATCAGCACTGCTGTGTCCCCGGCGCCGCTGGGCTTTGCCCAGCCTCCTGTCAGCACTGGGTCCCACAAAGCCAGTCCTGGCTGCGGCGTGTTGGCAGGATGAAGTGCGGTGACCAGCATAACCCTCTGCCCCCGGCTCTGACTCACAAAGTCCTTGGCCAGGGAGGAGTCCTTTTTCGTCTCTCCTTTCTTGTGGCCATCCGGAGGTGCTTGCAGCTGTCAGTGTTTGCTGTGCACTTCTGCTGAGGATCCTGGCGCTTCCTCAGAACTTACTGTTGGCTCCTCGTGTTACAAAACCTTTATGGACCTGCTGGGAGTTATAAGGGGGGTGTCACTTTGCTGCTCCTTGCACCTCAGCTTTGGGAAAGGTGGGGAGATGGACTTCTGGCTCTCACCATGGGTATCAAGGGCTTATTTTTCTGTCATCCCTCACTGTCACTGCTGCCTCTGAAATGCAGCACTGAAAGCACCATAGATGCACAGAGCCAGTACTTGCTGCGACTTGTGCAACTTCCTCGGACAGCAATTGCTGCTGTGCTCCTGAGCGCAAAATGGCTGGCTCCACCGGCTTCCTGCCAGCTGACTCACAGCGGGGCACCCATGGCTCTGGAAATCCTGTTTGGTTTGGATGCTCGTCTGCCTCGGTTGTGCCTGATGACGCATCCAAGTCCTTGGCAACAGCAGGGCTGAGGCAGTGAATATTTTGGTTCTTGACGAAAGGGCTGCAGCCTCTGGGATGCCTTACCTGAATGGAGTGAGGCTGCAAAGCCCGTCTCAGCCTCGCTTCCCCTGAGGGACCTGAGGCTGCCCTTGAAGCCCTGAGCTAGGGGACCCTCCCACCTCAGCCCTTTGGTTCAGTTAAGAAGTGCAGCTGACACTTCCTCCCCCTCCAGAGCTAATTTAGGGAAGCTGAGCCTCAGAGCATGGCAACCGTTCCCTGCTGCAAATCCCCCCCCTTGCTGGGCACCCATCCTCAGTGCCGTCACCTCCTCAGCTCCCAGTGCCCAGGTGATGCTCTGTCATCTCAGTCAGCAGCCCTGTTGTTGGAGTAGCAACAGGGGCCGTGCCAGCTGCTGCGGGGCTCCAGCCCTTAATCCAAGTGGGTGTTCAGGCAATGGAGAAGATGCTCACTGGGTGCTTCCCAGGGCTGTGGGTGGGGGCAGTCCAGGGAACATGCTAGCCTGGTGTCCCTGGCTCCAGCAGATGGGTCTCCATCTCCCTGGGCCCCTGAGGTGGGCAGTGTGGTGGTGGAAGGCAGAGCACCAGATCTGGGAGAGGGCAGCAGACTGGGATGAACACAAAGCACCCGGGCTATAGGGCAGTGTGGCTTGCACAAGCTGCTGAGGGCCTGGGCTGCCCTGCCTGGGCTGTGCACCTCACCACCTGCAGCGACTGCATTTGCGGTCCCGGCTGGGATCTGACCCTGCCTCCCCCTCCCCAGCGTGAGTGCATCTCCGTCCACGTCGGCCAGGCCGGCGTCCAAATGGGCAACACCTGCTGGGAGCTGTACTGCCTGGAGCACGGCATCCAGCCCGACGGGCAGATGCCCAGCGACAAAACCATCGGTGGAGGGGACGACTCCTTCACCACCTTCTTCTGCGAGACCGGGGCTGGGAAGCATGTCCCGCGGGCCATCTTCGTGGACCTGGAGCCCACTGTGATCGGTGAGTGCACCTCAGTTGGGGAGTGACGGTGGTCACTATCTCTGGGAACAACCCACTGTGGGACAGTCCCTAGGGTGGCTCCTGCCACCTTTCCACAGGGCCAGTTAGAAAATCTCTGACATTGTGCTAACCTCTCCTAGACGAGGTTCGGGGAGGAGTCTACCGCCAGCTCTTCCACCCTGAACAGATGATC